GCCACGGGGGCGAGGCAGGGCGCCTGCTGCAGGGCCAGCAGGTGACCTCCGCCCGGTGGCTCCGCCCAGAGGACGCGCACATCGTGGCGCGCGTCCCGCGCGACCCGCGAGTCACACGTCCAGGTGGTTTGGGTTGGGGGGTTGAGGGGGGAGGTGGGGGGTTTGAGGAGGTAGGAGGTTGGAGGGTGTGGGGTTGAGGAGTTCCGGGGTGGGGGGTTGAGGGGTTGAGGGGTGTGGGGTTGGCTTTGTTTTTGGTTTTTGCGAAGGTGTTTGGCGGGGTTTTGAAGAAGGTCGGGGGAGGGATTGGAAGGTTAGACTGTTTTGCGGGACATACACTTGCCAAAGTGGGTTCTAGGGGCCCAAAAAGGAAAGTAGCCTTTCGGAACCTCTTTGATCGTCAGCTTCCGTGTGCGTTGATATCACCCTGTGTGAGATGTTTGTTTACTTTTTCATTTCATGCTTCAATTTGAGGGTATCTTTTCCGGGGTCAAAGACTGCATGAGTATCCTTATGGCCTCGCTTTCATGTGGTTTCCTTTTAAGGGTAAAATATGTGGTTGTTTCAACACACACCATATTTTGCCCTGAGCTGAAAGTTTTGGGGGAGGGCAACCCTTGAGCCGAGCAAAACAAAACGAGGAGCTCTCCTGCCACGTGCTCCGCACCGAGCGCCTCACCTGCCAGGTGCCTTTGTTACCCCCCCAAAACGGCGCGGCGGATGGTTTGTTTCCTGTGGGTGTTCGGTTAAAACCAAGCAACGCACCTGAAAAAAAGGACGAGCCACTCAGCTATGAGGAATTGCCTGCTGGTTTCGGTGAAAACCAAGGAAAAGGCTTGGCTTGATTTGATCTTTGGCTTACCGAACTTGCTGGGCAAAGAACATCTTTGGACTGAACAACTGGTTGAAATCTTACCGGGCTTTCTCAACTGAAGCCCCAAACACAGTGGTTCACTTTTTGCAGAGGGGTCAACCAACCAAAAAGGGGACCTACGCGAAAACAGAAAGACGAGCCACCCGTGTCTGTGGCTATGAACTTTGAAAAGGGAGCCTAAAACAATAGTTGGTGGACATGAATCCCCACCTAAATGATGTCCACGGCACCAAAGGATTGATGTCCACCAAACGGTGTCAAATTAAAACTCATACCCAAACAATTTCATGCATCGTTACTGTATGGTTATGAATTTGGCTTTAAAGTATCCTGCAATCCCATTCTTATAGTTTAGCGCCTTCCTATTAATTTCAATGTGGTCCACCGCTCATATCCCATGGGAAGGTTTGCTTTTGCGTGGCAAAGACCATTTTCCGGGATGAGTCCACTAGGACGGTCAAACTCCTGGGAGGTGTTCTGTTGGTCTCCAAATGCGGGTTGGCCTCCCCAAATCGGGCGGTGTTCTATTGGTCTCTCTTAACGGGTTACCTGCAAGAGCGAGTCCCCGTGCCAAACGGTAGCTTAAAAAAAGCCGCAGTTGGGTTGCTGCCTGTGGGGTCCTTCCTCCTACTCTACGGTGCTGCGCTGAGTTGCAGGGTTTTACTCCAAATGTACTTGGAGTTCAGGCTCGAACGAAACACAGTGATGTCTTCAACAACCCCTTTACAACAAATGTTCTAATCAACAACCAGCCCAACTAGCCCTATTTTCCCACAACCTCTCTAGGGGATGAATTTCCGTTTTGTTGCGCAACCATTATGGTTGTTTAGTCGTTATTGATTTATTACTTAAAAAAGGCGTCGCCTTCCTAGCAAGTGTGGCTCTTTTTTGCAAAGATTCGGATCCCTTGTTTCAGAATGATTTCAGATTATCCCGAAAGGTTCTGTTTTGTTTGTCCATCTGACAAATCGATGACCCTGTTTAAATGATGCAACTCTTGAAGCAACTTCTCTTGGAGCATGCCCTCCCCCCTTGCTCCCTCCCTCCACCCTGCCCTTCACCCCCCTCCCCCCCGCGCCCCGGTGCGATGGACAGTTGAAGTCTATTTTGCAAGCTCGTGTGGCCATTTGCTTGCAAGATAAGCAGCCCGCTGTCTCGAATAGCCGCTCTTCGGTGTGTAAGATTGTGGCTCAATAGCCTCCCCCCCCAAGAAAAAAAGAAAGAAACAATAAGAAGGAAAGAACACAAGAAGGGCCCTCCCTTCTGTCTACTCCCCCCGGAAAATGAGACTACCCTCCCCCCCACCCTCCCCCCCCCCCCCCCCCCCCCCCCCGCGCCCCCCCGTCAGGTCTTCTGGTGCCTGCGGCTACCGGAGGTGGCTGAAGCCATGTTGGCGCAGCGCACCATGGAGCCACTCAGCGGGTGGCTTCGCCGGGGTCTCTTGCTTTTCTTCCGTAAGAGATGCTTCGCCTGTGGTCTCGGTGTCGTTTTTTTTTGCTTCGGTTTCTTGTTTGGCTTCCGTGGTTTTCCTTGGTTTTTGGTTTTGGCTACCTTGCTCTGGGTTCAATGGTTTCGGTGTTGGCTTCCTTGGTTTTTGGTTTGGCTTCCTTGGTTTTCCATGGTTTTTGGTTTTGGCTTCCTTGGTTTTTGGTTTGGCTTCCTTGGTTTTCCATGGCTTTTGGTTTTGGCTTCCTTGCTATGGTTTCGGTTTTGGCTTCCTTGTTTTTTGTTGGCTTCCTTGGTTTTCCTTGGTTTTTGGTTTTGGCTTCCTTGCTATGGTTTCGGTGTTGGCTTCCTTGGTTTTTGGTTTGGCTTCCTTGGTTTTCCATGGCGTTTGGTTTTGGCTTCCTTGCTATGGTTTCGGTTTTGGCTTCCTTGCTATGGTTTCGGTTTTGGCTTCCTTGCTATGGTTTCGGTTTTGGCTTCCTTGTTTTTTGTTGGCTTCCTTGGTTTTCCTTGGTTTTTGGTTTTGGCTTCCTTCTTTTTTTATGCAACTTGGGTTGCTTCCGGTTTTGGTTCCGAGTTTTGGTTTGGAGGTCTGGCGAAACCTTGTCTTAAGCCAACTGCCAAAAAGGGGCGCCGTTGTTTTTTGTTCCCATGGAAATCCCCTGGGGGAAGTCAGGAAGTCAACCTGGATCCGCCATGTTTTCTTCGGTTATCATGATAACTTGCCCTGATCTTGTCGTAGCCAAACTGGATCCCCGACATTTGTGGTTGATCCTCCAAAGTGGCAACCATGTTCCGGATCCACCCATGAAGTACAGTGATAAGAACAATCCGCACTGCGAGCTAGGAGCTAGGAAGGTGCGCCATATGTTTGCTCCATATCAGTTCTCGCTATGGACGGTGAGTCTGCATTAAAGAAATCCGAAGCAAAAGCAGACACTCTTGTGCACAAGTGTCACGAAGATGATTGGTTCATGCCAATCCTTGGATATTTGTCGCGGTTCGAGGGAATTGGATTGGAACTGGAGAGTTGAACTCCCGCTCCCTCTAAAAACCACCAAACCAACCACCGATTAGGGTAGGATGATTCGTTTGTTAGATAATTGAGATGTGCTTGGGGTTGACGTAAGCAACAGTCAATATTCAATGTGCCTTCAAGTGACATGAGAAGTTCGTACAACTTGGTGAGGGTGCCTAATGCCCCAATTGAGTTGGCAACCTGGTCAAAGGCTGCTTCATCCGGCTGCTTCATCCCAAGTTGTCCACTCTCTGCCACTTCAGGCCACTGTGGTCAGGGGGGGGGGAGGTCCCTTTGGTTTTCCCGGTACCTCTGTTGCTTACCTTTGCCCGACTCGAGGTTCCCGGGGCGGGCAGTTCTGGGCGCACAGCGCCCGGTGCTGCATTTGGTGGGAGGCAGGAGCTGAAAGCAAGACTCGAGCGCTGCTTCAAAGCTTTAAACAATCACACACACACACACACATGTGTGTGTTTCTTGATGGTTGGGGGTAGTCGGTAGGTTTTCCTTTATTGGGGTATGGGTGAGGGGATGGTATGGAGTGTTCTTCTTTTTTCATGGGCCCGAAGGAACATATTAAGCGTGCAGCCCCAGCAAAGTTGATCTCGATCCTTTTGGCAGGTGATGGCGGGGTGCTTTGTTATACTGGAGTCCTGCGGAGTACGGATTAGGATTCCGGATTTCCCGGCTTACAATGTACCCGGAGCGCCTGGGCTATCTCAAAATCGGCCACCCTGCCCCCCCCCCCCCCAACCGGCGGGTTCCAATTTTGTCCCTTTTCAGCCACGAACGGGGTAGCCTCCCATTTCGACGAGTAGATGAGTTTGCAGTTCCCGAGGCTCGAAGCAGTTCCCGTTGAAAATTGGGACCAGTTCCCGGGCGCGAAAAATCCGGCGCGAAATCCGGCGTTTCAGCTCTGTTTGACTCGGCTGGCAACCAATCTTGAGACCAAGGAACCTGGTTCAACAAGAATTCTATGGATCGAACCCCGGAACAATGCTGTTTACGGTTTCTTTTTGAATTCAACAGAAGCCTTTTTCCCCCCCAGGCCCATTCGGTACCAAGGAATGTAGATGTTGGAATATCCATTGGCCGAGCTCTGTTGACTTGTTGGGGGAGGGCCCAAAAGAATGTCTACAACCTTTGGGCTCCCCTTTGTTTCATCCAACTGATGCACATGTCACTTTCAGGGTCTTCATATGGGGTGAGTTGACTTTCTCAGGGGCTCAGTTTTAATTGCTTGGGAAGATCACCAGACCAACAGAGGCAGCAGAGGCAGGTCCTACTACGTCAAGAATGTTGTGATGTGTGAAAGAGACAACGGGGTCTTCCAGGGTGTGGTGTTTTCTCACTTCCCGTTTCTGGACTTTACAATTTGTTGGAACTGTTGATGGTAACCACAAAGTTTCGGGTGTTTTTCGACCAGTATACTCAGGACCTGCGGGTCCCTTTGGGGCCGTCCTGTGGATCCGCACACACCCAGGGGCCCTGGGTTTGTGTGCTGGAAGTCTTGGCCGATCCGAATGGTTGGAATCGGCAGCTCCCGCGCTTTCCACAGGCCACGACGGGCGGGGGCAGCTGAGCCGTTGCTGGCGCATGGATCCACGATCCGGGGACTGGCAGGACCGGCATGGTCAAGGGCCCGTGCGACAGGTCCCGAAAAGGGGACGCGTAAGCTGAAACTGGGCGGAGTGTTGGCGGGAAATCCGACTTGTGTTCGGCTGCCAGAGAGCTTATGAATCCAACTTGGCCAAGCCAAAAGGGGACTGGTATTTCTTTCCTGACTTCTATTTCACACCCAGTAATTTAACCACTAATAAACTATGTTTACTCATCCAAAGGGAATCGACCTGTTGACCTTCTGATTTTCCAGTTTTGGGCCATTTTTGCCAGAGGTCAACCGTCAACCCGGCGTTTTGCCGATCCTCTCGGCAAGATCCTATCGAAATGCCGCGCACCATTCCTATTGGTGTGTCAAACATATTGAGGATACTGCAACCTTTTGTGGTTGGCTTAAAGGGCAACCTAAACTCACTCCCTGTGTTCGTAGACGTTAAACTTTTTGGGAAGATCATTTTAGCGGCCAACAATAAGTTTGAACTTTTTTGGGCCAGTCCACCCAGGAAGTGAGTAGAGGGAAATCACCCTTCTGCGATTTTCCCCAATATTGATCTCGGATTGATCTAGAGGACAGTCAGGGGTGGGGTTCCTAGAATGTTCCACAATCCGAAGCTAACATTTGTCCAAACCCAGACGCTTTGGGCCAAAGCTGACACGGCAAGGCATGGGTCCTCGAACCCCAGGTTTGGGGGGGGTGTTACCTTGACCCAGCATGGATTTCTTGGTGTTTATCTTCAAGCTTTTGTAAGACCTGGGACCCTCCAAGGTTTCCTTTTGGTCCCTTGAAAATCCACCAGGGGGCTCCGATTCCTTGGAGAAACCCCCACCAATCTGATCTGGGCACCAGGTCAAAGCACTCGGGCGCCTTCGGCACCTGGCGAGGAGGCCGCGCCGCTGCCCTCGGCGCGCAGCATGGCCGCGGCGGCCGCGCTGGGCGGCAGGCGCCGACGGCGCGGGAAGGACATGCGAGCTAAGGTTTGTGGGGTTTCCCGCGTTTTTCTTTTGGTTCCTTGGGTGTGTGTGTGTGTGTGTGTTGATTTGTCCTTTCTTTTCTTCTTCTTTTTTTGGGGGGGGAGGTTTGTGTTGTGTCTGTTTTTCTTGGGGGGAGGGTGTTTTTTGTGGTTTTTGGAGCGTGTTCTAAGACTTGCTCTTTCTCCAGCCCGCAGAATATGTTGCGTTATGTGTTTCCTGTAAACAAGCACGCTTCAAGATGTACCTGCTCAGAGCACAGCCAAACCAAATACGCAAAGGTCACACTGTAACATCCAAGCAGCAGGATCCAAGCAGAGATGAAACGAGCAGAACCCGAGGATTTGGGCTGGATCGAGCCCACATCGTGAAGGAGTTGGCGGGATCCTGGCAAAAACCGCCAGGAAGCGCATGTCTTCAAACGATGTTCAAGAGGAAAACGCGGCGGAACGCCGCAAGACATGGACGCATTATATGGTTCCTCTATGCTTTCGTTTCGGTGGCGCGACCCGGTTGCAAGATCCAAACAGGATCCCGAGTTGCAGGAATTCGATGGGACACCAGGTGAGGGTTTTGAGAGACCCGGCAAAGCATTTGTTTGGACCTCCCCGCAGCACCAGGGTCCCTTGTGTAGCGTGAATGGAACTGAGAGAGTACAACAGAGAAAACCCGCCCACAAGGAGGGGTTCGAAAATTCAGCCTCTGATTTGGGCGTGTTGAATTCGGACCCAGAAAACTGGCGTTCAAAGCCTTAACCAAAAAGGGGGTACATCGGCCGTGTAGGCTGCCCATGTGTTTGCTGTTGGACTTCCTGAACTCGTGAATCCCCCCCTCCATGGCCCTTCCTCACCCTTTCGGAGTTCCAAGACTGGGCAAACAAGTCTGGGCCAATCCACAGAAGCAACGTGTCGAAAAGGAGAAGCAAACACCCTCTTCAGCAAGTGGCCGCCAATCCTTCCCAGTGTTTCCAGTTACGTTACCATGGCAGGTTACCAGGACCTTTCACATCTAACCCTGGCAAAGATAGCACAGGCTTATCAGTGTAGGATTTGGACTTTCCCAATAACCTGCAGTTTCGCGTTCCCCTTTGCTTCCTTTTAGAAGATCCCAAAGAATGGTATCGTTGCAAACAGATCCAGGCAGGGTTCAGTCCTTTCAAGACCTTGTCTGGACTGCTCTTGGCTTGGATCTTTAGACTTCAACTTGTTGGGAAGTCAAGTCAAGTTGGGGTTTTTCCACTCAACCCACAAAGCAAATAGCATGGTCCACGTTTTTTGGCCGAGGGGTCAACAGAAAAACCAGTTGCCCGTAGGCGTCTCCGGCTCCCGTAGGCTCTACGTGGCCGGGGGCTTCGATGGCGGCTACTTGCGGGACGTGGAGGTGGGGGGCTGAGGGCTCCAGAGGGGTGGGTCTGAAAATGGGGGATGCCTAAAAAATGGGCGGCGTTCCATATTTGTGTCCCTTGAAAAAAAAAACCATCCCAAAAGGGGGTACCATCAACAAAAAGACAAGAGGAACCCCAGTTGAGCTACCACTGAAAGGGTTCGCATAGGGGACAGGTATTGGAGTGGAATAGGATAAACAACTCCCAAAGAAGAAGGCGAGTCTTTAAAACGGAGGAGTCAGAAATATTCCAGTTTGCCACATCAGGATTTTGGCGGCTCAGTTGCTGGAGGTGAACAATCGGCATTGTTGTCCACTGGTGTGCAATTTCCAGTTGCTGGACTTGGTGTTGAATGTTTGTTGTCCGAACACTCATGACTGACTGTTGCTCGACTCATGTCTGACTGTTTGGTTGTGTCCATGATTCTAATTGTTATGAATGGTTTGATTGCTAGAATGTTTTCAATGTTGGGGACTTGCTTGGTGCCAGATGGTTACAACCCGTGTTTTGCGCCCCGCTCCCGCGAGTGCCGTTCTTGTGGGGAGCTCATTTGACTCGTGACATGTTGAATGCTCGCCACCCTTGACGTCAAATCCGGTTTGATCACAGTTCTTTGGTGACAGTGAGACTCACTTGCCCAAAGCGAATCAACCTTTTGACCTATTGGTTTCTGTGGTTTGGTCCATTTTTAGTCATGGCCCCAAAAGGTTAACCTTGTATTTCCAGGTCCTTTGGGCAACTGAGGAGATAACTTGGTGGTGCGACGTTTTTTTTCTCCAATAATTTTAGGCGACAGTCCAGGATCGTAAAATCCATGGGGTCCTTGCCTTCTGGAGAAAGCCTGTGTGGCGAAAAGGAGCAATCCACGGAGGTGATGTTTTTTTCTCTTTTTGTTCTTGGCATGTTTCCCTTTCGGTTTTACTCCAGGCATTGTGGTCACCATAGGTATCTTTCTGCGTTGAAGATAGCTGGGTTCCACTGAATCTTTGAGCGGAAGCTATGTTTTTGTTTTTCCAAGAGGCACCTGCCAGCATCCAGCACTGCTTTCGGGACGAGATTTGGTTGCATGGCCTAAAAGTTAAGACCTGGGTGCTGATGGATGGATGAAGCACACATCTTTCGCACCTCCAGCGAGGCTCAACGGTTTCATTCCCAGGGCGGATGTTCGAAGTTTCACACTTCGCCCATCCACCGGTCAGGCCACAGGCCACTCCCTGTCTCGCTTCACCGGGTCTCGGGTCTCGGGTCGGGTTCAGGTCTTCGACCCTGCCTGGAACTGCTGGTCTGCGGGCCCGGCCATGCTGCAGAAACGAGGCCGCGCGGTCAGGTACGGAACCGAAGACCCAATGGCCATTGATCGGCCACTGCCTAGGGGTCACTGCTCATTGAAGTCTTTACCGGGGCTCATTGGTCACTCATGTTTTTTGGTTTTCTTCTCGGAGTTCAAGTTTCTGGCACAACTGGTGCAAGGCAAAGCTCTGTTCAACAATGGCCATTGGGTCTTTGGTTCCGTACTTGATAAACATCACCATTTCCGGGTCTTGGACACATCCCTTGGATGACCTCATCCTCCAAACTGTGGCACTTTGAAGACGAACATTTTGGTCAGCTCAGGGGGCCTCGCGCTGGTGGCGTTGCGCCCGGGACCCCGGGTCCCCGGGTTTCCGGGTTTCCGGAAGCTGGGAACGGTTTCCCAAGAGGAAATTTGAGGTGTCCCTGCCTTTTGCCCGGCTCCAATTTGTTCAGGGAAGAAACCAATTCCAGCCAGTCAGGTTCCAAGTTAGAGGGGAACGGTTGCCCCTCCGAGCGGGAAGAGCAACCGGGTGTCTTGAAGGTCCATTTTCTCTTGGCGGGACCCCTTTCAGTGACAATGTGAGTGAGCTCTCAAGTGAGGGAGGGTACCGGTTTTAGAGCGATAACGCATGACACGTTGGCTCAATTGGAATTGAGCTTTCATTGGGTGCCAAGGACCCCGCTTCAAAAGGATAGCGTAGTCAGGGGGATGGCGCTCACGATCATGAAGTGGAGCAGTGGATCTCAGGAGTACCATTTCTTCCATGAGTGGAAGCTGAGAATAAGGCCGTTTCAAGAGGATGGTACTCCTGAGTAATTTGTTTGTCCGCTTTCATGATTTGTTGCAAAGAAGGCGGACCACAATTTGCCTTGGTTTTAAATGTTGGTTTGCGGTTGTTCGTCTCCAAGCGCACTTCGGCAAGTGCGGTCCAGTTGCATTGGAAGGTGTGCTCCCTGTTGGCTCTTCCCCCTTTCCCGAGTCGCATCTTCTCGAGTAAGTGGCCTTCCTGGGAACTGGGGAAAGGGATCGGCGAGCGGCTGGCTTCCTACCGTCGCCGGGTAGCTCCGCACTAGCAAATGACAAGAGGCAGGGAAATGCCCACGGGGTAGAACATGGTGCTTGATTCAGCAACATGGTATGCATGTGACATTCGACTCAATTCGACAGTTCGTTATGTGTTGGGGAATTCAGTCACGACTGTATCGAGTGTTTGCTTGATTTACCGGCACTGGTGTGCTCAATCGCAAGCGACACCAATGTGGTTGCTTATCTAACACTGCTTGGTTGACTGTGATGCCTCGGTATCCATCATTGCATCGTCACACAACCACATGTTCCATATCCTTCAAGAAGACACCCAGCTAGGATGAGAAGCTGGCTTTTTCGATCAGGGTAATGGCACAACCTTGGTAGTTTAGGATATGCAGGCACTGCCAGTCAGAAAACAACAAACAGGGTCGAAGACTTGGCTTGCAGGTATCCCTCAATATGAAGACAGGTTTGTGGGAAAACAGCATCCCGCCTTTTCCGAGGCATATGGAGGCGGTTGCTTTTGGCATCTTTGCGCCCGTAGCCGCAGTCGGCAGCCGTTGGGCTGACCAACTCTCCGTCGCCAGGTGGGCAGCTCTTCGCCTGCGGCGGCAAAGACGAGGACGCCATCCACCGCTCCGCGGAAGCCTTCCAACTCCCGCGCAGCGCTGCTCGGCTCAGCCGAGCGGTTCAGGGCGGAAGCCGGGATATTGAGACCGGGTGGATTTGTGCGTTTGTCTCATGGGATATATTTGGAGCCAACACAATTTGCGTTTGTCTCATAGAAAGATTGAAACCCAAGACAGTGGTACTGTTGGAACTGCTTTCATGTAGCCCCCCCTCAACAGCGCCAGTCATCGGGGGCCTCTGATTCCAATTGCCAGTGCAGGAAGCCAGATATGAGCGGCTGAACCTTGTGGTCCATGAAAAAGATGATTTGGAAGATGGGAGGCCGCCCTTTTGGTATCTCAATGTGTGACTGAGTCTTTGTGCAACTTGAGTTTACCTCTCAATGCTCGCGGAGAAGGCGGTGGGGAAGGTCTTAGTTGCCTTGAACGATGCCGGGGGCTGGTGCTTGCTAGCGCAATGCCGCAGTGTAGTAGTGCAACTGCCACGCTGGCGGATTCTCAGTGGAGAACAGACGAAACACCGCGATGCGGATTGCTCTCAATCTTCGGGGTTTTGCTTCTACACAATCTGGGTGAATCATGACAAGTCACACATGGACCATGTGTGATTTGTGATGATCGCTTAGATTGTTTCACATCAACATAGGTTCAGCCAGCACCCCCCCCCAAATGAAACTGGAGACATCACAACAAGCAAAACTCCGGCGGGCATGACCGAACAGGACTAAGCGAAGTGACAAAGATATTGAACAAACACAATCGAGGAGAAGAACCACTCGCTCAAAGCAGAGTTCAAGTCACTTCTTAGACTTTCCGGGGCAGATCAGGGTCCCAGATCGGGTCTGTTGGCCAAAGTTATAGTTTCAGGAACCAGCTCGACCTTTCAAGCATCAGCGTTGCCGCCCTTCCGAGTGACTTCGATTAGATACTCGCTGGCGTCCAGGAAGCCTCAGTCCATTTGCCGCGTCCAGCCTCAGTCCATTTGCCGAGACTACGGCAGGACTTCTCTTGCAACACGTCACATGATAGGGGCGCCCCTTAGGGGCGTTCTTGGACGACGCAGTTGTTGAACTTTCCTAGACATGCATTGAATAAGGGTGTTTGATTTCTAATCTTTCTCTTTTGATGTTTGAGTCAGTTGTGGAAGGAGGTCACCCCTGTGCCTCCACCATCAACAAAAAAGCCAACAACCAAGCACACTCAACGGAGTCCATCCTTTGTCACTCCATTTTTTGTTTGGGTATTCGCAAGCCACGCCTCACCTGCAAATGGGGTTCCACCCAAAGAACCGCAGCCTTTTCAATGGATATACCGGAACCCCCAGAACCATCTTTGCAGATCGATGGCATCATTCAAGCTCATGTTTTTTCTTCGCCAAACCAACAAGACTAAAAACGACCCGGATTGGATTTTGTTTGGAGCCATTGCCAATCCAACCAAAAAGCCACCACGGATGGATGTTTTATGGGATCCATCGTAAAAGCAGTGACCAGTTTGAACCGTAGAACTCTGAGGTGTGAAAAGAGATTGGGCATTGGAGTTGGGCTGCCAGGGATTGTTTTCTTTATCCACCGGATCCCTGGCCCAAAACTTTTCCGCGGAATCCCAGGTGTCGGAGCCTCCGGAGGGCGCCTGGCGCGCGCTGCCGGCGGGGGATTGCCGGCGTCGGTTTTGGTTTTTGGAGCCGGGGCGAGCGGGGCTGGTTTGGGGGCGGGGGGGGGGGGGTTGGGGGGGGTGGTTTGGGGGGGGGTTGGTTTGGGGGGGGGGTTGGTTTGGGGGGGGTGGTTTTTCCATTGAGAGGGGAGAACCAAGTGGAAAATCGAGTTTTGGGGGAGGTTTGGGGGCGTTGGTTTCACCCAACAGGACCACCCCCAAAACCGGGAGGTTTTCAAACCACCGTTTCAAACGGAACGGAAAACCCCGGCTTGGGACAGCTCAAGGGAGAGGGGAGAACCAAGTGGAAAAAAAATCGGCGAGTTGGGAGAAGCTCGGAATTTGGACACACGTCTATTTGTTTTTTGTGTTTGGGAGGGGGAAACCGGCACCGTTTGGGGGGGGTTAAGCTATTTTAGAGACCTCAGGTTTCCAAGCAAAACCTTGGGCGCTAGCGAGACTTCAGAAGAGCTAGGGTACCCACGTAACCGCGAAGCGCTGCACAATCGGCTTGAAGGAAATAGACGGAGGGAGCTGCTGGTTGGTTTTCAATTTTGCCAGGTTCTGCTCTTCTTTTCTTGCTGACAGCGGACCATGAGTTTTGTTGAGGGTGTTTTGACACAGGGCTCGTGTTTTGAGAGAGCTGGAAAAGGGATCAGACATGGCAGCTGACCCAGTTGCCCAATGGACGAGGCGTTGCAGATACTGAGTCTGCCACGCATTCTCTTGGAGGCTCCTTTTGTGTTTGCTTTTCTTTCTTGGTGTTTTCTGTGTGTTGGTGGATTTTTTTTTGTTTTTGTTTTTTTGCGGCGGTATGGTTTGTATTTTGGCAAGGCCCTCTCCAGCGCGCGCTGCTACCCCGCAGCGCGCCGCGTCTTTGGCGCGGTATGGCTTTGCGGGGGACTGTCCAGGCGAGCATCCAGAGATCTGTCAATACTCAGTTGTTCAGTGGCCCCCTTTTTCCTCTTTTTTGGTGGCTGCCCCACTAAAATGGTCTTCCCAAAAAAGGGTTCCCATTTTTTCCAGGGTCACTGAACAACTGAGTATGGCGAGCCTGTACTGTGGGCTTTCCTTTATACCACCCAAAAGGGTCGCCTACAATTCACACCTCAGAAAAAGTATCCCCAATTTGGCTGTTGTGTTTTTGTGTTGTTGTTTGATTCAAGCCACAAGTTTACCCCATATCAATCAACCCCAGTTTATTAATAGGGGGGTGTCCAACTGGGTTAGTGGATATTTATGACTGGAGGGGAACATCATTACTTCTGTTTTTGGAGTTCCTGATTTTGGAATTTACATTGTTTGCAGATTTCAGGTTCAACCACCGAAGCTCATTCCCAAACACCCCATTCCCTAGGGGAACCACGCATTGGGCAAATGAATCCTTAGTCCATTTTCTTTGCTTCATGCTTCCTTTTGGGTAACATGGTTCACTCGATGCACATGTTCCCGCTTTTTCTCGTGACTGCGCCCCATGCGCCCCACCAATTCACGCAGGTTTCAGCGCCGAAAGAGGCGCCAAAGTGGGCCCCTGGCGGGCTGTGTGTGTGTGTGTGTCTTTCTTATTGTTGGACCCCCCAAAGTGGCTTAAACTTTGGTGTTCCTTTTGGTTTACCTAAAGCCACCAAGCTTGACACGGAAAGCCGCCATGTGACGCTGGAAACTGGCCTGGCAACTGTGGACTTGGAAGTCCAAACTTTGCAGCGATGGAAGCCCACCTGGCGTGAAGTGGACTTTGATCGCATGGGCAACTGGCAAACGGGCCGACTGCTTTGCCAACCTACAGGAAACTGAAAAAACCTGGACCATTGGTACTGACAGGAAGCTGGTTTCAAGGGAAAGCCCACCATTTTGGCGGAGGTTTCCCGATTCTAAGACTTTACCATGGGCCAAAGGGAAGCTGGGCCAGAGGGAGCTGCCCCCAAATCACAAGGGGAAAGTTCAAAGATGTATAACATATATGGCTGTGGTTGTCAAAACCAATGGGATCCCATTTTGGGGTAGGTGAATTCACCACCCATTTTAGAACCTATTTTAGTGGGGATTGGGATGTTCACCGGGGGTATGATTTGGATTTTGACTCATGGCCATATATATGTATATATATATATATATATACACCTCCTATATGGTGGTTTTTCTTCAGTGGCCCACCACACAGGCAACTTGCTGATGGGCCAAAGGGATCTCCGGATCTTTGTCCCTGTGACAGGTGGCTGTTCTTGGGGCCAGGTTGCTGGGTTTCATTTGCGTGAAGTGGTTGATCCCCAGCTAGGAAGCTGGTTGCCAATGGGAACTGGGTGTGTGTTTTGTTTAGGGTGCCCCCCCACCAAAACAATATATATATATATAACTTTTTTTTTTGCCTAAACCGGTGTTCCCCTTGGTTTCCACAAGAGCCAACGAACAACTGGGGGTACCCTCAACCAAAGACACGGTTTCCTCATTTCAATAAGACAACTAGCACAGAACATCCAACCAGTGGGCAGCCTCGGCCGCCTGCGGCCGCCAGGGCGGGCATTTTGAAGTCCACGGAGTTCTTGGCGCTGGACGCGGATCGCTGGCAGCCCGGACCGGAGATGCTCTTCGCGCGGGCCTCCGCGGCAGCGGCGGACCTGAGGCGGGAGATGGGGGGGCCATGGGAGGTGTGAAACGAATCCCAGTTGCCCAGTCATGGTTGTTGTTGGGAAACATTTTACATTTTTGCTTGCTGTGGTCTAGTGGGAAATCCCCACTTAACTGCTAAAATTTACTTTTTTGCTGCCCTTCTAACGTCAACCAAGCAGTGGTGCCTGGAACCGACAAGGACACCCATTTCGGGGCGGTTTCCTGACCGGACCATCGCATTTCCGTTTTGGGTTTCTCTGTTGCCCAGCGGGTTGCTCCCTTTGTTCCGCTTTTTTGTGGGAATGGTCCTCTTTTTCGTTAAAGTCCAACCAAAAAAGGAGGCCGATCCTTTTTTTCCCATGGCCACGCATCTGTTTGACGCGGAACACGGGCATAGAATGAAACTTTGGGCATCTCGGTGGTTCTCAGCCGTCTGGTTCCGGTTTTTAGAAGTTTTCCACCAAACCGCTTTTCAAGTTCAGATCTGGGAGCCCAGTCATTTCTAGCCACCGGAGTTCCGGCAGTTTATCTATGGGTGCTTCAAGCAAACAAGGGCTCCTTTGGACATGGGAAGGGAAACCAGTTTTCTGGAGTTGGGTGTTTTAGGCAAAGGGATCCGCGGGAGTGTTTTCAACTGCGGGCTCTGTGCCCTGATCCCAGTTCCGGCCAGGTTCTGTCTGAAAAATGGGGCCCCTCGTGGTTCTTCTGCTATCCCGTTAAACCATCCAAACACGGCATCCCTATGTTGGGAAACACCCCCCAGTTGTGACATTTTGGTGAACCTCCTTGATCACCCTTGGGCGATTCCATTTTCCTCTAAGATTTATACGGTGGTATCCTTGGATACCATTTTTCAGAGGTGGTATCCTTGGAGTCCTAATGGAACGACCCAAAAGTCGTAACTCTGTCCGTCTCTGGGCAACTTTCCTCGTTGTCTTTGAGGGGAATCCGTGATTCTGGAGCGTGTCTCATGCCCTCACGAAAGGGCACCTGAGGATTTCAGCCTTTGAGTTGCCCTTTAGCACTCTAGCACTCTTAATCCATAGGATTCGGCCACAAAGCCCAGACAAATAGTTTTGTTTATGAACATTTTCAAAACACATGAAAACCACAACCAACTCTAAGAAGATTTGAGGCCTTCTTTTTTGCCATTGTTTAGGCACACATCCCGGACCTGGTCAGGATGGGCTTGATGGTGTGCGGCGGCTGCACCCAAGAGGCCGGCACCGGTGAAACCGGGAACACCTCTCGATTGGATGGTTTTTGAAGAATTTATGTATTAGAAAAAAAAGGGGATTCAAAAACTGAGCCCAACATCCCTCAGTTTGGGGATTAACATCATGTGCATCCGTGTGGCTGTTCAAGCCAGAAATGTGCGAGCGCACTTGGACGGTTTTTGAGGCCCTTTTCAGGTTAGGGAGAGCCGAAGAAGTATTCACGAGTCTGACCCTTCAAACATGGGCAATTCCATGACCAATGGCGCCCCATTTTCACCCGATGACACATGGGTGTGTTACTCGATCGGGATCGAGGGAAGCCAGCGAATTGGAAGGGTTCGAAATAACCCATGTGGGTGTGGCTCAAAATTATACAGGAGGGGTTACGCAGGTTTTGGTCCATGGTTCCACTTACCAGGGTTCCATTTTGGTACCGGTTTTTTGATCCACAGCCATGTGCGATGTTCCCAAAAACCAAGAGGTGAGGTAACCCTTTTGTTTTTTAGACCCTCGATTCTTAACACCCAGACCCCTCTTAGATTCTCCAGGTGTTGGATGTGTTTGGACACGGTCGATGCATCACATCATATCGCCCGGGAAGCAAACCAATGCTTTTTCGTCACATATGTGTGTTTGTTCTCTGAAAAAGGTGGGAGCGCCCTTGTTTCGGTGTGGGACCCTTGCAGAAAACACGGCTCGCGTCTCTCTTCCCCCCACCGAACCCCCTTGTGGATTCCCGGCCCTGCTGCTGTCCCACGGAGCTCAGGGCCCGCTCGACACGGCGCGAGGCCCAGAAGCCCAGAGGCCCACGTTTTTCTGAAGAGCAGCGGCTGGCTTGAGCAAATGCGGCGGTTTTAGGAGGGACACCTCCTTTTTGCTTTTTGGGGCTGGTTTTGGCAGACACAACATGTGAGTGGTGCGGCGATTTTAGGAGCTTTCTCCTTTTTTCTTTTTTGGGCTGGTTTTTGCAGACATGTCCTGAGTTCTATTTCCTTGACGCACTTGAAGGTTTGCAACATAGTGGCAGAAAAACGTTTTCCAGGAAGTGAGGGAGAGGCTGGTCGTGGCTCAGTCTAATCGGTGTCTTGTGTCCATTTATTTGACAGCCGTTTGAGAATCCCAAGTGTCCAAAAAGAGGGAAACCCAACCACTCCCCAATCAATTTACCTGTATAATAGGTAACCAAGGGGTTCCCCACCCTTCAAAAACCAAAAGGGAAATAGCTGGCTTCAGTCTTCCACCCTTGCAACCCTTCATTGCAAATGTCCTCCTTCATATAACTCTTCAACACCTTTCTGGGCTTCCATTTGCTGTTCAAATGAATATTTGTTGTTTCCCCTGTTGGAATTTTCAAGGGAGACTTTTCACTGGACAGGTTTGCCCATTTTTTCCCGGGCACCGAGAACGCCCAAAAAGGTGCCTCGTGGGTCACTGGGATGCACGAGTCACCGAGCGCATAGGCCGAGATCCTCACGCCTGATGGCTTCCAGGCGCAAGTGCCTCACTCCGGACATCGGGGGAGCCAAAATGGGTGTCAGGAGGGGCACACTGCAGGTGTTGGTCCATGTTTCCACTTGCCAGGTTTCCATTTTGGTACTGGTTTTTTGAGCCACGGCCAAATCAAAACGAAGACACGGGGTCGGGGCTTGGAGATTGAACGCTTAGAGCCTCCCTCCAATCATGGAAGTTGACAGGAGAGCTTTGGAAGACGATTTTCCTTTTGAGGAACCCCCTTTGTGCACTTCCATGATTGTTGGAAAGAGGGTAGAGATTGACGACCATTCCACCCATGGAGACGCACTTGCAATGACCCATGAAACAGCCGGCGTTGAAACCGAGGTGCGCGCAATGGCACCCGATGTTGTGCCGAATTGCGCTCGAAGCGCGTTTTGTTTTTGTTTTTTCCGGCCAAGCCGTCTTCAAAACTGTTCGTTTCTAATTGGCCGGACAAATGCGCTCGAACTCCGAACGTGCAATTGAGCACTTGTTTTTCTGCGTCAACTGGGCCTCTAGGATGCATGGATGATCCCAGCTATGCTAGAGAAAGGAGACATAATTTTTGGGGCCAACAACATGGGTGTGGCTCAAAAAAACCGGTCCAAAATGGAACCCTGGTAAATGGAAAAGTAGACAAACACCTGCGTAACCCCAGCTGTCAAATTTTGAGCCACACCCAAATGTATAGCTCGTTCATCGCCCAAAACCGCAGCCCTGCCCCTTTCCCGCAACAAGTTCTCTGGTTCGCCATGAATTGCTGCGGTGCTGAGCCGAATGGCGCAGATACGGAAGCGAGCCTGACGATCAAGGTGGGGGACTTTGGTTGAAGAAGTTTGGTGGGCTTCCCCTTTCGACGCATACTCGTAGTATATACGTAGAGTATTGTAAATCTGGATAAGTTTGATCACCACCCGGGTGGTGAAGCAACCTTCCCAAAAGACGAGAAACCTATTGATTCATGGTTCTTAAACCAGTCGCTTTCTTTCTGGAAATGGCGAACCCTCCAGGTGGGTTTCCTTTGCTTCCCTTTTGAGTAACACCAACAACGGTACCCTTAAACAAGACACACCCAGAATGACCCCCGAGTGCGGATTTTTCCACCAGACCCTTGCCCCAGTGATCAGTTAGAAAGACCAGGGATCCAATGTCCAAAGCCTCAGGTGGCTTTGCCAAGTGGGCGCTTGGTGGAAGCTTTCTCGCTTCCACTCAGTGGCCGGGTGATTGACCTGAAATTGGCGGCTCAGAAGTCGTTGCAGCCGCTCGCTGGAAAGACCCGCTGTTTCTGTGAGCATGTTTTTCTTGCTGGTGCTCAGGGAATGAGGGAATGAACCATTTGGGGCTCCCTGAAAGGACAGCATAGGGGACAATCCTGCTGAGCACCAGCAAGCTTTGACATGGGTAGAACATGTTTTCAACTTTGACGTCGTTGGATTATTTTCCTGTTTGGTTGATGGTTTCGAGGATTCTATTCCCCATTTCTATTCGGCATGATCCGTGATGATCCTGTTGGCTAATATGTCTTAGAGGGGTTGAAACCACCAACCAGCTATACTCAACAGGACTGGATTTTGCGGGTTGTTCGGCCCCCGGTCTGACTTGACCCAGAGATGAACCCCTGAAATCTCGGTCTCAATTTTTCGCCAGGGATCATCTGACCCAAGGCAAGGCTTCCTGCAGCTTGCTGCTCCAGACGGGCAGCTACTGGACCCCAAGGAATCTCTTCAAGGCTCTGGGCTCCAAGACGGAGATACCGTCACTGCGATTGCTCGGAAGCCAAAGATGGCCGCAACAGCTTTCGCATTTGCTTTGTGGTGCCCTGGGGACTCCCGGGTTGTCACTTGGGGCAAAGATCCTGATGCTGACACCTCCAAAGTCGAAGATCAGCTCAAGAACATCCAGCAGATCCATGCCACAAAGCGTGCTTTTGCCGCCATCTTGGCAGATGGAAGTGTGGTGTCATGGGGCGAGCCCACGCTAGGTGGCGACAGTTCAGGAGTCCAGGATCAGCTCCAGAATGTCCAGCAAATTTGCGCAACCGGCTTTGCTTTTGCTGCGATCTTGGCAGAAGGATCTGTTGTGACGTGGGGCTGCGCGCCATTTGGTGCAGACACCTCCGGTGTCCAGGACAAACTCAAGAATGTCAAGAAGATCTATGCCAGTGACCGTGCATTTGCTGCGATCTTGGCTGATGGAAGTGTAGTGGCATGGGGCGACCCGAGTTACGGTGGTGACACCTCCAGAGTCCAGGATCAGCTCAAGAACATTCAGCTGATCCAGACCACATACTATTCCTTTGCCGCAATCTTGGCAGATGGAACTGTGATATCATGGGGTGGGGATCATCATTGCGGTGATAGCTCCGGAGTTCAAGATCAGCTTCAGAATGTCCAAGAAATCCATGGCAACGCGGGTTCATTTGCTGCGATCTTGGCAGACAGACGTGTTGTGACATGGGGCTCTCCAGATATAGGCGGTGACAGCTCCACAGTCCAAGATCAGCTCAAGAATGTCCAACAAATTCATGCCACAAGCACCTCTTTTGCTGCCATCTTGGCAGATGGAACTGTGGTGGCCTGGGGCGATGGGGATTATCATAATGAACTCCTGGGAATCCCAAATGAGCTTAAGGACGTCCAGCAAATTCAAGGCACAACTCATGCTTCTGCTGCGATCCTGCCTGACAGAACTGTGGTGACGTGGGGCAATCCCGAGTTTGGTGCCGAGCTTGCCTCAGTCCGGGATCAACTCAAGAACGTCCAAGAGATCCATTCCACACAGCGTGCTTTTGCTGCGATCTTAGCAGATGGCGAGGTAGTGTCATGGGGTTGTGAACAAGCTGGTGGCAATATCGATGAAGTGAAAGAGGAGATTCAGTTTCTTTAGGATTCACCGGATTCGCCATGCGTCCGAAGGAAACCACAGAGTTTGATGGAACTGGGGGGCGTCAGGTCACAGCCGAAACTCTGTGAGTCGCTTTGGGCCAGTTGAAACAACCAAAAGGTTGTGTAGATTATGCAGATGTGTACGTACCCTTTTGGGTGGGGGGTTAAAAGGAAGCTAAAAGCAGAAACCAATCATTTCGGGGGGTCCCCTATTTGACCCGCAGATGAATTTCCCAATGGCTTGGAAGATGCTGCAAGTTTCGCATAATAGCATGGCAGTTTGGTAGGCCTTAGGCCACTCAGATTTGGGTAGCGGAAGGATGGGGTAAGGCTTGTGGCCCATATCCAGATCACAGCCTCGTATTTATATTTATACGATTATGTTTTTTCATGGTAGGAGGAATACATATATATATATATAAATAAATAATCATCACTTCTTCCTATTAATAAATGTTCCCCTTTTAAAGAAAGAGAAAAAACACAGCCGACGCGGAAAATTGCCAATGCTTGTTTAGGGAAAATTGCCAAAAATTGCCCAATGCTAAACCAACACTAAACTCTCCACTCAGCGAAACTCTCCAGATGTGCTTATTGCATGGGGGTCACCCTAGTCTTACTCACAAGTTGTATTCTAAAAGTTGTATTCTGAGCGCTTTTGCCCTCAAACCAAAGGGCCGGCTTGCTCCTGCTGGTTTGTATTATAGGGTCTCCATTGAGGTCCCTTTAAAAGATATTATTCAATAGTTGCGTTCTGAACGTTGTTTTCACGAAAGCAGCTGCTCTGGAGTTCTCTAAGCTTTAGCTAAGCTTTTAGGGGCCTTTGCTTCCCACGATGCCTGATTTAATCAGGGATGGGGGGGCCCTAAAAAGCCTGATTCGCAAGACCAACTCCTTACTTAGTCTTGTGTGCCCAAGACTGTTTCTGGCATGAGCTAAACCTGCTAACTCTTTGTCCAGAAGGCTGTCCATACAAACCATCTGCAAGCATCTGCTTCAAGTTGCCTAAGATTTGCAACTCAAGAATAGTCACTTTCTGAACTGCTCATCAAACATGATATTTTCCTGATTTGCTCATCAAGAATGATGCTTGTTTTTGACCACCATTTCTAGGATCATAATCTGATCCTGGAACAGGTGGTCAAAAACAAGCACGTTACCTGTGTTTTGTTCTAGTGCTTTTTGCTTGCAAGAGGTAACAGTTGTGGATCTTGGGGGGGTGACCAAATATATGTATGTATATGTATATATATATATATATGTATATATATATTGTATATATATATATATATATATTGTATACGTTGCATACCTGGAGGTCGGCCGTTTGCTCGCCAGTTGCTGCCGCAGCTCGGTGGCTTCCGCAGCTCTGGCACGGCGGCGCTGGCCATGGCCCCCAGCTGCGCAGCAGGCGCATCGAGCCTCGGAGTCGGCCCATTCGCGACGGATGGAGCCCTGGCCTCTTCGAGGAGTTGGACGATTTGCCAAGTGGAAACGTTGAGGAGTTGGATTTGCCCAGTTTTTTTTTGTTTTTGTTTGTGCTTAGAAAGTGGCAAGTGGTAATTCGTTGTGTATGGTTTGCCAAGTGGTTGCTTCTCTTTTTTGTGCCAGGTGTTCTTGTTACTAGAATGGTAATTGCAAGTGGGCAAGCATTCAATGGACGAAACTTGAAGTCTTTATCATATAGCTGAACCGTTCAACACCACACTTTCCAGCTCGAATTGCAGTGGCCGTTCTGGCTGGAACCAGTTTAAGCCACTGGGCTGGAGATTTGTCCTGGCGTGTCAACAACACCTTGACGTGGGTAGATGTTTGGCTTCGCGTTTGGCCCGAAGCAATATCTTCTTCTTTTTTTTTGGGGGGGGGGGTATGGTCACCAGAGCTCTCCCTCTCTCTCTATCTCTCTTCCTTCAGGTGAGTTCTTCCGCCAGAGGCACGGGGGCAACTTGATCGATCGCTCGTGGGGCTCGAAGCAATGGATCGTTTCCTTCTTTTGAGGGGTGCCGGGGGTTTCGGGGATGACCCCTCCAGTTGATTGGCCATGACCTAAAAATCGATCCTTCACAATGGAAGGCCCTATTTCAGTAATTCTTGTGGACTTCCCTGAAACAGATTCCCAACCGGTCAGTCAGACTTGATGTCGAGCTCGATTGAGAAATTGCAACCCTTGCCTTTTCCGTCGGCTTGGACCTTGGGAATTCTCTCCCAGATAGGCAGTTTGCGAAATAGCAATTGTTCAATTACCCAAAGGGAAACCAAAAGGGAATGGGTATGGTTTTTGCCAGACCCCCTGTTTAACACCCCCTATGTAGTTCGCCGACTTGGGTGTTCTTTCATGATACGAGTTAAGGGCTCACCGAAAGTAAGCGGAGTTTTCCAGCCCACTCGATGGAGCTCAATAGCTCGGGTTTGGTTTCCCTCACAGTTTGGTTGACAGATCCATTTTTTCGAAGCGAAAGCAAGGGGCCGTGGGTGAGAAACATGTGTGGTCTCAAAACACCTGGTTGCTTGGGCGGATTGGTGAACCGCGGGATTCAAATAGTGGCATCGTTCATCGTTCCGCGATGAGTTTGCCGCTTGGGATCTCACAACGATCGGAGGCAAGACGAGACTGGCCAAGCTATGCTCGCATTGCTATCACAAGAAAGCATATGTCCCTAATTGTATGAACCACAGCCATGTCGGTCCATTTTCAATATATCTAGCATCTCACATATCTTCCACGTTTTGAGTCTGGGGTTTGTGCAGCAGACCAGCAGACTGAAAGTTAGACTTACTCCCCCACATCCGATCTTTTTGAGGGCAAGCCTCGGACTGGAAGACAGGCATTTTTTGGAGAAGCGTGACAATTCCGGGGGTATTTCAACCCAACCAACTGCTTCAACACGGTTTGCACTTCTTCTTCTTTTCTCCCAGGCTGCATTCGGCAGACCTCCGCTCGCATCAGGGTCCTGATCTTCGGGGGCTTCAATGGCAAGAAGCATCTGAAGAGTGTGGAGGCTTTCAACGAGGACTCGAAGTCGGGCTTTGGGCCTCTCCCGCAGGGCTCCCTAAAAAAGATCTCCATCTTGCAACCAATTGAGACATGGCTTTTTCAACACCAAACCAAAGGGAAACCGCCATTTACATGGCAATGTTCAGGTGTATCATGTAAGGATCTCTGCTAAGCCCAGTTCACGTCTTGAATCTAACCGCAGAAGTCACCGCAGAAGTCACCGCAGGTCACTTCAGGCCCAAATGGAACCATGGGTCGTGTGCCAGATTGAATCCCTTGATTCCCGAGAACCAACACTCACTTGTCCAAAGCGAATCGAGCTTTTGACCTTTTGCATTTGTTTTTAAATGTTGGTGCACTTTCAGTGGCCTCAAAGGTGATCACCTTTTATTTCCAGGTCCAAAAGGAGCAGATTTCGTGCTACCTGCTTGTTTTCCGGAGGTGCATGTTCAAATTCGGGGGGTGCACCCAAAACCCCCAATGGGCTGGTTCTTCCATGGCTTCTCTGAAACAACCCCGGGTGGGGCGACCGGTTCCTTCGGATGGGGAGCCTCCGACCTTTCACTGGACGAGTTTGGAGTGTCCAAAAAGAAAACAGAGGGCCATGATCCAAATGTCCCGTGCTGGGGAAACAAGCCATTGTGGCCGGGATTGTTTGGGTTCAAAATCAAGCCATGCCAATGCCAGATCATGTGATATGACTTGAGAACGCGGCGCCACAGCAACGGCGTGGCCGGGAGTCAGAAACTACACGGCTACCAAGCTTCACCCCCTCGCCAGCCCATTTCCCTTTTGTTCCCGTTGAGTTTTGTTTTTTTTAGTCGTCCTGGGTACCCTTTGTGGGGTCGGCTCAAACTGGGAAAGCAAGGACAACCCCGACAATCACCCCCCCACCTTGCCCCCCGTGGGGTTGGCTGAAAGGGAAAAGAGGACAACCCCCCGCCCCCGCCCCGAATGGACTCTGAGGCACGAGGTGTTGGTTTCTTATAACACTTCCTAAATCCAATTCCATATCAAAAAGCATTTATTCAAAACTAACTTGATAAAGATTATTATTATTTTCCTAATTCCAAATATATTTGTTTGGTCACCCCTCAGCACCATGAGTTCAGGAGCGGTGCTGCTTCGAGCTGGCAGGGGAGCTGTGGGGCTCTCAGACTCCTCGGATGGGTTGGTTGAAAAATCGGACGGTCAACACACGGCAGCGGTCAGCAAATGGCAGTTTTTGGGGTTACCCCCCAAGAAAAAGCGAATCCTTAGAAAAGCCAGTTGGGAACTGGACCTCCTTTGTTGGGTTAACCAGGTTTTTATTTGCAGAGTAGTTTTTGTTTAACCGGAAAGCAGCAACGCGACAAGCACGTTTTTGGGGGGGGTCCCCTATCTATTTCGACCTACACATTTGAGTTCGGGGCATGAAAGGCGAGCTCCAGCTAGGGGCACTGAACAGGTTTCTTTAAAGAACAGTCCTTGGTTATTCCTTTCAAGAGGGTGAACTATAAACCCAAAGTGCAGGGTTGAGGAGTGCCCAATTCAACTCCTATTGCCTTTGCGTTGCTGATTCTATTTGGTCTCATGGGTTTGACAGTAGGTTTTTGTTTGCTCCTTGTTTGCAGGTTGGCCAAAAAGGGAGTCTTGTTGGATTGTTGGATGTTGTGACAGTTAAACGGGACATTTCAAGGTAGCTTATGAAACCAACCCAAAGTTGTCTTCTGAAGCAAGAACATATTGAATTGTTACATTGTTTGCATAGTTTGTTGGTGGTACAACTATTTATTCATATTATATATATATACATAGAACGTTGCTGGTACAACTATATATTCATATGTATATATATTCACATATACATATATACATACATGCAGACAACACATTGCAAAACCAAACAAACCCAGCCAAGCCTTTCTCCCCCAGGCCAGAGGCGGTGCTGGGAGTCGCTGCCGCGGCAGCTCGGCAGGGAATGGCTCGGCTGCGATGTGTCGGGAAGGTTTTTCAAGGTCCCGACGAAACCACCCGCAAGGGATGTGTTGTTTTTTTTGTGTGTGTGTCACGGGATGTTGTTGTTGTTTTCTTTAAAAAATAAGAATAAAACATCAAGGGATGATTGGTTTTGTTTGTTTTTTGTCAAGGGATGTGTTTTTTGTCAAGGTTGTTTTTTCAAGAGATGGTTTTTTTTGCAAGGGATGTTCTGTTTTGTTTGTTTGTTTTTTTGTCAAGGGATGTGTTTTTGTTTGTCAAGGTTTTTTTTGTTCAAGGGATGGTTGTTTTTTCAAGGGATGTTTTTTTTTGTTTTTCAAGGGATGTGTTTTTGTTTCAAGGGATGTGTTGTTGTTGTTGTGTTCAAGGGTTGTTTTTTCTTTTTTGTTCAAGGGATGTTTTTTGTTTCCCGAGTTTTTTTTCTTTTTTAAGGGATCGGTTGTTTTCTTTTTCAATTGATTTTTTGTTTTTCAAGCGATGTGTTGTTTTGTTTTTTCAATCAATGTTTTTTGGTTCAAATGATTTTGTTTTTTTGTTTCAAGGGATGTTTTTTTGTTTCTTTCAACATGATGTTTTGTTTTTGTTTTTTGGTCAAGGGATGTTTTTTTTTTTTTTTCAAGGGATATTTGTTCAAGGGATGTTTTGTTTTTATGTTTTTTTTGGTCAAGGGATGTTTTGTGTTTTTTTCAAGGGGTGTTTCTTTTTTCAAGGGATGTGTTGTGTTGTTTTTTGGTCAAGGGATGTTCTTCTTTTTCAAGGGATGTGTTTGTTTGGTTTTCACGGGATGAGTTGTCTTCAAGGGATGTTTTGTTTTGTTTTTTCAACTGATGTTATTGTTCAAGGGATGTGTTTTTTGTTAGGGATGTTTTGTGTTATTTTTTCAGCGACGTTTGTGTTTTTGTTTATCAAGGGATGTTCTTTTGTTTCAAGGGATGTTGTTTTCAAGGGACGTTGTTGTTTTCTTATTTGTAAAGGGTTGTTTTTTTGTTTCATTTGATGTGTTCTTTTTCAAGGGATGTTCTTTTTTGTTTCAAGGGATGTGTTTTTTTCAAGGGATGTGTTGTTTCTTCAAGGAATGTGTTTTTGTTCAAGGGATGTGTTGTTTTGTTCAAGGGATGTTTTGTGTGTGTGTGTTTTTCAAGGGATGTGTTTTTTTTTGTTTTTTTTTCAATCGATGTTTTTTTCTTTTTTCAAGGGATGTTTTGGTTTTGTTGTTTTTCAAGGGATGTTTTGTTTTTGTTGTTTTTTTTTCCAAGGGATGTTTTTTGTTTGTTCAAGGGATGTTTCTTTTCAAGGGATGTTTTGTTTCAAGTTTGTTTTTTTTTGTTTCAAGGGATGTTTTTTTCCCCCGGGGTAATGATTCAAAGCAAGGATGGACTCTTCCAAAACCCTGATTGTTGGAGAGAGGGTACGTCTGGAGGTAGTTTTTTTTTTCTTCGGGATGAGCCATGTCTCATTGCCTGCATCTCAGCAAAAACAACCGAGAGGAAGACCCTGTTCTGTTCTTTGGGCTCCCAATCGACGAAATGGGCTTTGGGACAGAGCCAAGGACCATAAATTTTGGGGTCCGAGTCGCAACAGTGGCTTGGGACTGACCCTCCAAGTTTGTTCACTTGCAGCTGGCTGTTGGAAAACTGGGGGGAGGGGAGGGCCCTGGGAAGTGGAAAAAGAGGATTTTTTCATGAACAAGAGCCAGACTCCAGAACAAGACTTACTTTACCAGTTTTTTTTTTTTTTTTTTTTTTTTATGAACAAGAGCCAGACTCCAGAAGACTCACTTCACTTGCTTCAGGGAGGTCGCAACAGGTCCGATGCGAAATGGGAAGTTGAGGACCACAAGAGAGATGGTCTCATTTCCCGATGTTCTGGATTGATATGGGGTTGTCTTCTTTTTTGCGGGTACCCCTTTTGGGGCAAGCTTACTAGGAAAACAAAAGGAAAGCCACCCACAAAAACTGTTCCAGCACTCTCGATGCTTTCTTTGCTTTCTTTCGGCCCGCTCCACTGGCAAACAACGGCCTCGAAGTTTTTTTTGGTCGGGGTGCCCACTCTGAGGGTTATTAAAACTAGTGGGTTTTCCACTAAACCACTAGAAGTTAAACTTTTAGCAGGGGAGCAGAAAGCCACCGAGAAAAGGGAAAAGACACCAACGCGGGCGGCCGAGGCTGTTTGCATGCCGCTGCTTTGAGCTCAACCCCGCGGCTCGGTCTTCTGGCGTCACTCATCGCGGCTCGGGGATTTCTTCTCACGCAGGCGGTTGCCACTCGAGTGGATGTGCCTCGCGGCCGTGGCCACTGGGGGAAAAGTTGTGGTTGGGTTGGGTTTGCCTTCGAAGTTGAGTGGTTCAAGAGATCTTGCTACGCGCGTGTTTTGTTTTGTTTTCTTTTTCTGGTATTATGTATTGGATGAAACTTGGCGGAGCTGTTTGTTGATTCTTCCGCTGCGAAGCATTTCTATTAATATGTAAGATAGCTCGGTCACGTCGCGATTGCGACGGTCTTGGGCAATAATAGCACCGGCATGCGACACATTGGTTCAACAGTTCGGAAGTTGCCAAAGAGATGCCTTTTGCAGGACCAAGGTGTTATGCGATGCCAGGTTGAAAGCGAAGAGTGGCTTTTGTGTTGTATATTGCACCAGAAGCAAGTTCTAGAGTATGCGCACCTCGTATTACCTGCATGTTGAGCACTGTCCGACCCATCCTGAGAAACGCCGAGCCATCCTGAGCAACTTGCCTGCCGAGTTTTTGGTCGACAGATCTGCTGTCGATTGTGGCTTTTTCCGAGTGTGGGGCTGATCCAGACATGCTAATGTTGGTCGAATGGCTCACTATCATTCACAGCTCTCCTTGAAGTGGTCAATATTGCGATAGCCTTCCAACTATCCCTTGACAGCTTCCACTTGCTTGCATGATTCCTGGAAAGAAAGCAATGCAAACTTCGCACTGATAAAGCGAGGCTTACTTTCTCGCGATAAATTCATTCCCTCTTCACATGATACATTTATATATATATATATGCATCTTTGTGAAAGGGCGGTCTCCCACCCCTGATGAGTACGGTCCGCTTTTGATGAATCCGAAGTGCGAATCATTGCTCACATCAGCTGCACGCCGACACAAAACCGCACTTTATGCCACGAGTGCGAGCGACTTTCGGGCATGGCTCGACATCGCTCGACTGGTGCTCACGGCGACTTAATCGTTGGGTTGGTGCGACTGGGCAATACAGACCGTCATGGCATCGCCCTGCATCTCAGGTTTGGCAACTGCAACTGTGATTGTTGTGATCGTTGGATTGCCAGATGTTTGCACCACCCACGATCTTTACTTATCGGGCCTAGCACCCGGGCCGAAGAATGAACCGCTGCCAAAGGCAGGGGAGATACGACAGCGCAACTGCAAAGCAGGCGTTGTTGTGCAGGAAAAAAGGGCGGCCCGTGTGCAACGTGCGTGTGTCTCAGCTGAGAATTTGGGACCTTGACCGGCCCCCCTCTTGGATAAGACAAACCAATATTGTTTGTTTCGGAAAGCAGCAGCGTCTTGAATCCATGACGCGTTCACACTTCATCCTTTGGGCCACGCGTATGTGGATCTTGTTGGGTGGGGCTGATGTTTTGAGGGCAAATATTCGCAACCCTGCATACACATCCGATTTCTTGTTTGGAAGGAAGAAGTCTTGCAGCTTGATCGCATTGAAAAGGAGTTCCCCGCATGGTGTTGTCTCCAACTTAAGTATGAACCCCCCGCTCAAAATGGGCGGTTTCCCTTTGCTTCCTGTTCGAAGCCCCATAAAAGGCGGCCTCGCGAAGTAAAATGCCTAATGGGTGTGTCGGGTCGTCGGATGGGCTCCGGCGGATTTGGAATGTTTGATCAATGGAATCCACTGGAACTGGTCAACCAAGTTCTTCCATTTCTGGGGTTTTTCGTGGCTCGATCTGAGAATCTTCGGGATGACGCAGGGTTCGCAACCCCTGGTTGATGATTGGCGTGGGGCGCGATCGATTTTAGAGGGGCCCCTCCACTTTTGGGGGGTCTTTAGTAGTCGCGTGCGTCATGAGGGTCCTCGTGACCAAAACATGCAACATGTTTTGTGGATCCAGCCGGTTACCTCCAACTGATTTTTCTGAAAGCTTTGGGGTCTCAGCCCAGATAGGGTCCGGGGTGGTCCGGGGCGGCCCTCAGGTAAGGTTCCATGAGGGTTCCACCAGGGTTCCACCAGGGTTCCGTGAGGGTTCCACGGGACTAAAAAGAGCACCGCATGCTGTTGGGGATATCACCAGAGCTTTTTTTTTTGCCCAACGCCCCCTCCTGAAATCACAACTTGCTGGCAACTGCACCCTCCAAGTCTTGCTCCAGTGCCCCGTGCGCGCGCCCTCTTTTGCTCAGGTCTTGATCGGTTTGCGCAATCGCAAACGGACGAACTGCAGGTCCTCGCGAGGGGTGCTCCATCACTTCCTTTCAGAGTTTCAGGCAGGCTACATAAATGTGACCATAGGCGTCGTCATTGCAGATTTCCTTCATGTATCATGGGTTTAGTTTCAGCTCGTAGCGAGCGGTTTCGCGCACAACCGGCCCGTACGCGCATGAGCGGACAGCTTTGCTCTCCCCCTATGGGACGGCGACGCGGTCTTGCCCTTGGAGCGAGAAGAGTGTGAGTCCTGGGATTCTGAATTCCAGTTACCCCGGCAAGCCACCATAGGCAAGCCCTCGATATTTTAACCTCAAAGGGTTTCGCATCATGGTTGCGTGGTTTTCCAGCTGTCACGAGGTGGCTGGTGTTCACTAGCAAGGCCTGGAGATTTCGAATGGAATTTCTTCCCATGGTCCCATGGTCCCATGGTCCCCCAATTGGCCACCCACGCAGAGTACGCGATTTATACCACTTCCACACGGGCAAGGGCAAAAAACCCCACAAGATCACCGCCAAACATCCAGAAATGTCAAGATCGGCGATCTCCAGGTTCGAAGGACCTAAAGAAACGGGATCTTTTCGGGAAGTCAAAAGGACGCGAAGTCAACCCACGTGCGGCCAGTCGCTAGTACGCAAGGGAAACCTCTACTCCAAAAACGAGGAAATGTCCCAGATGGCCGCTATGGCGCTACCATGAGCTTAATTCGTCATTTTATACTGGAACCTCCGGAGAGCCTTTTCTTCAACTGGTGACCCTGCAACGGGAATTGGTTTGTGACTGGAAGCTCTGGACACAACTACAATGTGCTCACTCTGGCGTGAAGCAAGCTCATGCATGCAGGTCCCTTGCTCGGGCTTTCTTATTTCTGGTTTGTGGGTTTGGGTGTTGGGGATTATGTCTAGGGTGGGATGCCTCTTATGGTTCCACCTGGAGGGGTGCAGCAACAGCAAGGCATGCAAGCAAGCAGACAGGCAGACGCGGAAAGAAAGCAAGCAAAAAGAAAGAACTAAGGGATTAATGGCAAATTATAAATACAGCGAACAGAAAGTGCACCAAACAATGACAATAAGTACGTCAAGACAGCCAGAAGACAGAGACAGACAGACAGACAAACAGACAGACAGAGACAGACAGACAGACAGACAGACAGACAGGCAGGCAAGCAGGCAGGCAGGCAGACAGGCAGGCAGGCAGACAGACAGACAGACAGACGCAGGCAGACAGACAGACAGACAGACAGACAGACAGACAGACAGACAGACAGACAGACAGACAGACAGACAGACAGACAGACAGACAGACAGACAGACAGACAGACAGACAGACAGACAGACAGACAGACAGACAGACAGACAGACAGACAGACAGACAGACAGACAGACAGACAGACAGACAGACAGACAGACAGACAGACAGACAGACAGACAGACAGACAGACAGACAGACAGACAGACAGACAGACAGACAGACAGACAGACAGACAGACAGACAGACAGACAGACAGACAGACAGACAGACAGACAGACAGACAGACAGACAGACAGACAGACAGACATGATTGGCTAACCGGTGCCCAATTCGTTTTGAATTGGCAAGGTGCCGGCCCCTCGTGTTTAGCATCTACATGCCTGGTTTCAGTGGGGTTGTAAGCCCAGTGTTTCCAGTTCTCATCATAGCAGGGAATCAGTTGTTCTCAAGCTCATACATGATATTTCCCTGGTTACCTACTAGAACTAGTGGAATCTGGAAGACAGGCAGCCAGGCAGACAGACAGACAGAGAGGGAGGGAGAGAGGGAGAGAAGGAGGGTAGGAGGGAGTGACAGATACGGAGACAGCGGGAGAGAGAGAGAGAGCGAGAGAGAGAGAGAGAGACAGACAGCGAGAGAGAGAGAGAGAGAGAGAGAGACAGACAGCGAGAGAGAGAGAAAGAGACAGAAATAGAGACATACAGACAGATAATATCAGATAATGATATTCTGGCATTGTGACAAAACACCTTCGAGGCTTTTGAGACGTGTGCCATGAACTGAGGTGGATACGGCGGCTGGGAGGGCGACAGGCAGGGCTAGCTTATCGAGCGGAAAACCAAAATGCCCAGTACGACTGTTCAAGGATACACTAAACATAGGGTTTAGGGCTCCTTAAGGGATACCCCCACCACCACCTTCACAACGAGATCCTTCAAGTCAGCCGATACATCCCTTCAGGGACCCTGGAACAGGCACGGCCTTTTTGTCTGTCAGAGTACCTTCAAAAGGTTGCTCTCGGGTATGACCTTTGCCCAGTGGCCCAGTGGATTCCACCCGCTCTTCTTGTTCTTGTTTTTTTTTGTCTTTTCTGGGAAAGGGGAACGCCTTTGACATCAACCATCCAAAAAGGGGGGGCCTGTTGATCTTGCCACTGAGCTGCTGAGTACCTTTTGACCTGTTTACAACTGACTGTTTTCATTCCGTCCGACCAGCTTATCTTTTTGGCAAGGGTCAAAGACACCCAAAAGATCCAGGTTTTGGTTAGCTTTGATTGGCCCTCAGCGATGAGTGGCCAAAATTGCTATAACTTTCTGCCCTTTGTGCCAATCGATTCTTTGCAGCGTGTGTATGTGTGTGCGTCCTCGCACATGTGTTTTGTTAGTTACGTGCAAGGCCCATGGTTGGCAGCGTGGTAAAGGGGCATGCTCGAACCCTGGGTATGTGATTCTGAATGACCTACACTTTATGGGTATGGCTCAAAAAACCGGTACTAAAATGGAACCCTGGTAAGTGGAAACATGGACCAAAACCTGCGTAACCCTAGCTCTTAAATTTTGAGCCACGGCCTTATGTTCTTGAAAGACTCTATAATAATATGCGAGTCATGGCTGAATGATGCTGCATGAGTCTTTTCTTAGATGTGTTTGCTTTGAGACA